ACCTGTCCATTATATGCCTCCTTTTTCAATTTCTTGGCACAATCAAACACTTCCTTCAATACATTCTCTTCAACATAATAAAGAAATGGAACAAAAGCCTCTGATCTAATTCTTGTCATTGTCTCACGTGAAACTATAAAGTAATGATAAATCATCAGCATGGTCTTGATACAAATTACATCTTCGTCATCATGATCCCGCTCATCAAATACAAATAATTTAGAACCAGTATAATATGATAAATCATCATCAAAATCAAAATGACTTGACAATATTTTGTTAGTTTCTTTATGACGGTCTTTCCAGAAAATGGAAACTAGTGAATAATTAGTTCGGACAATCATCTTTACTTCATCAAAATTTCTACGTAAATCATTCAAAGAGTCAAGTTTTCTACATTCCGACATGTAGTCCTCTTGAATGAACGGAAAAATTCCATCTTTAATCATTTTTTTTAATTATGACAAAAACTTGATCAAAACTTTCCCAATGCTTTTTAAATGAATTAAAAAAATGGCGCAAATTACTGCCGATGAGCTACTGGAGGAAATCATGCATTTCATGAAGCAGCAGTTGGAGAAGGCTGTTACAAATTCTGATGTTTCGATCCTTAACAAAATCTTACCAAGTGATCTGTGTGCTTATCTGGTGCCCGATAAAAGCAAAAAAAATAAGAAAGAAAAACTAGCTGATATTTGCCTGCAACTAGGAATCAAAGAAGATGGAGATGGTGCATATGAATATTATGAAGAAGATGAAGATGGAGATGGTGCATATGAAGATAGTAATGATACTGATCCTTCTTCACTCGTATACGTTGACGCAACATATTCTCAGCAACAGATTAGCAAACTTTCAAAAATTATTTCAGATATTATGAAAATCATAAGATGGACCTAAATTTTAGTGAGGAAGCTAATTCGTTTGATACTGTGGTAAGATATCTTTGTTATTCATTAATAGATTTAGACTTTCGTCCATGGCGATTCGTTAACCAAATGACAACAAACTTTTCCGAACCATCCACTCCCACTACTACTCAAATAGATACTACATCTATTCCACCAATCACTATTCAAGGTCCAAGACTAAAATTTTCAACTTCCTCTCTACTGGATCAATATGAGTATTTCCTATTTGAAGATTCTGTTGAACTTACTCATCAAGTTCCAATGATGGATGCTGTTTTGAGATTTGTTTTGCAAGACAAAGAACTTTTCCAGTTCAGGACGTAAGTAATTTTGATTTTGTAATGCGAAACTAGTAGTTTTGAGAAAATAAGGTTGACAAACATTTCTCAAGAATTCTAGAGATATTCTGTTCCAAGAAAAGGGTTTTTGGTGATTTTTGTGTAGTATTGAACAAGCACATTCACAATCATAAAATCCAGCCATATCTACTATTTGTTGAATGCCAGAGAGAAGGTTGTCAAAATGTTTTCTTTCACAAAGATTTCATCAAACTGAGCATAATTTTGAGAGTGAGTTTACAACATACTCTCAACAACGCGTTTTCAGCTACTGCACATTATTATGTTGACTATGTTGACTATGTTTATGGATTACTTGTTGCTAAAGAGTACTGCTTCTTACTAGAAATGATGTCTGGGGTGATATCAAAGATTTATCAAATTTATTCATTATGACAGAAGAAGGTCTGATAAATAATTCACAAGAAAACCACCAAACCGTTCACGTGGTTTCCAAATCAACCTCTTGCACATTGATGATTTGCAGAAGTTATTCACAACAGACAATCAAAAGAAAAGCAGAAATACAAGAACTTTCCTTTCAAACCAAAAAGAAAAGAGCCAAATCTGCAAATACAAAAGAAAACACCAACAAACAGATTATGATTCAAAATCCAATGATAGGCAGTCAATGTTCAATTAATGACGAATCAATTAGCGAATTGTTTGGTGCCATTTCGGCAAGAAAAGGATTAGTTGATTTTTTGAATGGGCTTGGTTTGGTTTGCAAGATTGAAAGTCCAGTTAGAAGAGAAGCATCAGTGGGCAAAGGAGCTTCACTTTTACTCAATGCTATGCATAATGGCTTGCCAGTTTTTGTAAAGGTTAATTGTTACAAAACGAACGAGGTTTACACTACTTACTTCCAAAATAGAAAATTAATGGAATATTTGAAATTGCAAAACACGTCGCACCACCTTAATAAGATTGTATTTCCACTCCTCAGAATACTCAAAGGAAGATATACGATCTATATTCAAGTTTGCTACTGATGTTGTTGAATATATGAAACTAAATGAAACGATATATGTAACAGCAGTTGAGCCACTCACTGAAATTAAGGAATTTCTTGCTAGCAAAGTGAAATTCTTTCATCCCATCGATTCTGAATCCAAGAGCAAGATATTTTTAACAATTATTGTGAAATTACTATTTGACTTTATGAATAGTATTAGAGAGTTACATTGTTTGGGAATTATTCATTGTGATGTGAACTTTTATAATTTTCAAATTAAGGAGTCAGAAACTTTTACTGATGAATTTTCATCGATTCTTAAACTGGATGAATCTCCATATTTTGTGGGAGTCCTAAGCCATCACTAAATTCTTGATTGATTATAGAAATCCAACTGATAAGGAATGGATATTAAAACAGTGGGAATTTTTAGGTAAGGAATCAAATTGTATCTTTAAGAATGCTCAACATTTGGAAATATTTTCACAAATTTCCAAATTAGTGTGTGAAATGTTTTCAAATCCTTGGTCTTTTTCCACAAATTACGAAAAAGAGTTGCAATCCATCAAGCATTCTTTATTAACATAACTCCAATACTATTCGTAAAGTTAAATATTTAAGAAAAAGGTTTAATACCAGAAAAAAGAACATTTCTATTTTGGATTTGGAATTGGTGTGTCAAATGTCTTGGGAGTGTGAAAAATCCACAAAAAATGTCGAAACATGTTGAAGGTGTGATATTTGCCCTGCTCCTCCCCACGTTCTCATCATGTGCAAT